GAGGAGCGCCATGCTTCCCCCCCACTGCTGCAACCTAGCTAGAAATCTCTCTCTTCCGCTAATTTCTAGGGTTTCGAGAAGGCCAGTGAGCTTTTCAGTTTCCCTATCGCAAGCTGCGAGTGTTTCCTGTGCAGCTGAGCGGAGCACCGCGATTGATCCCGCCGGCCGAGCAATCGATACTAGGGTTCTTCCCGGGCTAGTTTCCCGCAGAGGTAGAGGACAAAAGACACCAGTAGGAAAACGGATTGGTTTCAGGTCCAATTTCTCTTCATGGGAGGAATCTGCGGAGGCCTATTTTTCAAGAAATGGAGTAAAGTTGAGAGATGAGAGGGAGGATGGGTATAGAAGAAGAAGAAGTTTGGGAGATACAGAGTCTGAGAATGGAGTTTCTGCGGAGGTGCGAGAGGAAGAGACTCAGGGGAAGCAGGAGCTAGTTTCCAAATCTGCTGATTCTCCTAGATGGAATCGAATCAAGAACATGCACAGAGATTTCTCCGATTCAAGCTCTCGATCCGAGAAACCATATCTTCGCCGCTGGAATAAGCGGGAAACCTGGAGCAAACCTAGATCGAAAGAAGCCACGGAGACTTCTGTGCCTAAAATGGTTGGTCAGTGTGTTTACGGGGTTGGTCCCGTTTTGGCCGCGCTCACGGCGGCTAGGAGAGAATTTCACGCCCTTTATGTTCAGCAAGGACTGGACATCACTGCAGAAAACAGGAAGAAGAAGAAGAAGGATAAGAAGGGAGTGGCGAAGATTTTGAAGTTAGCAGATAAGTTAGGGTTAACAGTCATTGAAGCTTCGAAGCATGATCTGAACATGGTGGTCGAGAATCGGCCCCATCAAGGTCTGTTGCTGGATGCTTCCCCTCTTGAGATTGTTGATATAAAGGAGCTGGAAGCTGTTGCAGGGACGGATCAAAGAGCTCCTCTCTGGGTGGCTTTGGATGAGGTTACTGATCCTCAGAATCTGGGAGCCATTATCAGATCTGCTTATTTCTTCGGAGCAGAAGGAGTTGTTCTCTGTGCCAAGAATTCAGCTCCTCTGAGTGGAGTGGTTGGCAAAGCTAGTGCTGGCTCTCTTGAGCTGATTGAACTAAGGTCCTGTAAGAACATGATGAGGTTCTTGGGGTCTTCAATGGAGAATGGTTGGAGGGTTCTTGGTGGATCTGTGTCTTTTAAAGCTCTTTCTTTGCGCGAGGTTGAGGCTGGATTGCCGACAATACTCGTGTTGGGGAGCGAAGGCCATGGGTTGAGACCTTTAGTGGAGAGGTGTTGTAGTCAGTTGATCAGAATTCCTGGAATCATGGCTGTGGATGGTGTCAATGGAGA